CTGGTACTCAGTCAGAGGCTGAGTCGACCACAGGTCCATAGTGCGGCTGGAAGGATTATGTCAATTGAAAACATCCAATGACCTCATCGGGACTCGAACCAGTGACCTTACGGTTTGTAGCATAATGCCTCAACCAACTACGCTACCGTGTGCCCTGTATAAATGGAATATCTAAATAAATCAGTTAANTTCCCCTTTGGCACTACAGCCCAGTGGGCCTAGGTCTACCTCCATGAACTTCTCCGTTCACTTCGGTTTTTCTAGATCTTACACATTCGGTAGGACTCCTTGGGCGGGTGATCAGCTCGTCGCAAGGCCTCTACCTGTACACAAACACAGAAAAACGCACACAAACATCCATGCCCTGAGTGGGATTCGAACCCACGATCCCGGTTTCCAAGCGAGACAGTACAAGAGACTGTTTCCAAGACAGTATATGCCTTAGACCGCTCGGCTACCGTGACCGGCAAATGAACAGTTTAGGGCCCCAAAATTGCAGATAATCCTAAACAGATCATTATGGCTTTGAAGCATGAAGTTTTATCTATATTCAGGTCTCCCTAACATACACCAATCAGTTAATGCTATTTAAGGAGACAACAGCTGTTATTCTGAGAGCTTTATGGAACCTATCAATATGCTCTATGGAATAAAAGAGTTTTGGTTGCACATATAGTTTTGAACAGTACAAATATTCAACATGGTGCTTCAGAGCAGTGGTTCTCAACGGGGGCCGTGGAAACTGTTAAGTGGGCCACGAAAATTTCACTTCTAAAACAAAATTATTAATACTAATAATACAAAAAGAAATAAAATTCCAAATAGTCAGTACATATAATAACACAATAACTAATTATCCTTGTTTTTTGTGTGCCTTACTTAGAAGGGACAGAACTTATTGTACTTAAACCACAACCTTAGATCTGGGAATTCCAAGTACTGGTAAACAAGTACTCTCCTCCTTGGAGCGGGAAAAGCCCTAACGAAATGGTTAAATGAAAAAATTATCCTCTATTTTCCTAAATATCTCCCACTCCTCTCATGAGTTTTACCGCTACCTTTTCAGTAAATTTCATTTTTTCTTCAGTTCAGTATTCGGAGTGTTTGGAAGAAGACATTTTTCTGCGCAGGTTCTATTATTGTGGCAGTTCCCTACTTTGGAGGTAAGTTACAAACTCCAGCTACTACTTCTAGGCAGTTAAGCATTATAGTTCATAATAACTTGAACATTCATTACAAACAAATTATTAGCTTTCAATAGAAATTGAATAACCTCCCTCTACAAAAGAAATATTTTGTGAATTGATTACAGCAATTTTGTATTTATTTTAAGTAGAATGGCTTCCAAAGTAATTTTTATGAATATTGACTTACAAAATTTTCCACATCTTTAAAGAATTTATAAATTGAGAACTCATAAATTTAAAAAATTCAAACTGCCAAAAGTTGTTTGTTCCCATGGACCAGTTTGCTTGGTTTATATTCAAAAGTACAGACACACTTTCATGCTGATATCCGTGTTGATAAATTACATATGTATCGCTGTTCTCTCCCGTATGAGCTAAACGCCCCGTCCATCTCATCCTCCCGCGGAAGCACACGAGCAGAACATCAAAATGGAGTATATGAGGGTGTGAACTGAGCATCTCCATCAGGCTAGTGATCAGTAGCGAGCTTTCGTGCAGACGGTTCGACGAGCCACTATTGCTATTCACAGTGGACTCCATACACATGAAATTAGTTACTAGCTTTATGGGAGACGGTCACGTGTTCCACCGCCCTGTCCAGTTCACGAGCCGAAATTGTTCAGTTGGTTTACTGGATGGACATCCGAGAATCTTCGGTTCGGTTCCCGGCAAGGGAAAGAGANGGACATCCGAGAATCTTCGGTTCGGTTCCAAGGCCTCCAGACCGACTCTGGCGCCCACCCAGCCTGCCACCCACTGGGTACCGGGGGTTCTTTTCCTTGGGATAAAATTGCAGGGGCGTGGAGCTGATCACTCACCTTCACCTAATACCGAAGTCAAGAATGGTTGAGCTATACCTCCACTCCTCCATACATCTTCACTCTATCTTTCACCTATCCACGCATATCCTCTTCTCCTACTCTGCATCATATTATCTTCTGTATATGATACAGCGTCATTAAATTACCTACGGACGATTAACAGCAAGGCATGAAGTGTTGATTGTCTTTCAACGTCGTGCAACATATGAAATTGTGGCATAGACAATGTCATGGATCTTCGTGAGTTTATCGTCCAGGGTTGTGGTTCGATGTTTCTCTCAAGGTCATAATTTCATTAGCGCTACAATACGAAGTAATTCGCTCCCTTCCTTCATAATAGGTTCCAAGCGCTAATGGTGGGAGCACGCAAGTCAAATTCTTCCACAGTAGCCTCTAATGATCCACTAATCCCACTGACGCATTTAATGGATATCGGGCACGGTGCCTTTCACTTATCGCCCCTCCATCTCAGCCAATAAGCTGAGAGTTTCAGTATGTCAGCAGGTCAAAGCTCTCGGCAGTGTAACCAGGACCTACAATGGCAGTCAGAGAGAAGGTGGAATGGGAGGCTGTGTTTCGCAGAATCTACCTCACGTCCACCAGACGCACTGACAGCTTCGTTAGCAGCGCTTTGAGTTCTTGCAATACTGGTTACCGACGCGGTGAGTTTGTTTTAAAAATATTTACTCGTACTTTTATTGTCCTGCTCGTGTATAGTGTGGCTTGTTTTCATTAGCCCACTTTCCTTATTTTGAAGAGAATAAAATAGGCTTATCACATCACCTTGCTGTGTGTCTAAGTATCACCCCCCCTCCATATCAACTTTGAATGCCTGGACTAATCTTTATGAAAACTGGTATGTAAAGTTCATCTCAACGGCATACTTCCTACATACCACCTATCAGTATGTCTGTATTTGTATCCCCCTTCCGTTGCTAGGCAACGGCACGGTAAAAACGTTACCATGGAAACGAATACACAAGCTCAAGTCGTTTTCTGTGCTGTCCGTGTCGTAACAAAGGAACTTCTGGTTTTCTTTATGACTCTTTCAGTAGCCCGTTTTATATAGCATTGAATGATACGGTGATCAGTGAATAATGAATTTGGAAAGGATACAGTAGCGGAATAATCTGAGATACGACGTTTGACGTGCCGATCACGGTAGCTCGGAAGCAGGATCGCGGGTTCGAATCCCACTCAGGTCATGGATGCTCAGTGTGTGTGTGTGTGTGTGTGTGTGTGTGTGTGTTTGTGGGTGTGTGTGAATCTTCCTGTGTATGTGTACAGGTAGAGGCCTTGCGACGAGCTGATCACCCACCCAAGGAGTCCTACCGAATGTCTGAGATCTAGTAAACCGAAGTGAAACGAAGAGTTTCATGGAGGTAGGCCAAGGCCCAGAATGGGCCTGTAGCGCCAAAGAAAAGAAAGTTTGATGTATTGGCCTGGAAGAACTGAGGAAAGCCACGGAATCCTCAGCCAGGATAACAGCCTCCGGGCCGAGATATGAACCTACAACTTCCTGAATATTAGTGTGATATGATAAGTACTTGCAAACGAATTTGTAGTAAATTATTTCACACCTTATCAATCTACCATTTCTGAAAATTGGAAACAGAAGTAAATAAAGGAATACAAAAATAAACAAAGTAAAGTAACTTTACTGTTTGCATCACGTTGTGTGTCATGATTTGTGATACTCTGGCCGTCAACACAACAAATGTTTCAAAATAAACCAATCTAGTTGTTCTCGTTGGTTTCATTTAATAACCGTTACATGTTTCGGTCCATATTTTGGACCATCAGTTTCATCAGTTACGTCTCATGTTGTCGAAATATCCTAATACGGATCCATATTTGTGTTAAATCAATATATCATCATAATACATGTAATGATTAATAAAATTGTAAAAAGATATTTTAAATCTTTAAAAATTCTCTCGTTACAACGTAAACTTCTGTGATTGTCATGTGTTGTAAGTGGTGATTATCCTCCGGGGTCCTTAGAGTTTCAGTTCTGTATGTGTGTTTCTTCGACCGTTTCTGTGGTATAGTGGTCAGATTTCCTGGTTACATATCCAGAAGTCCCGGGTTCGATTCTCGGCGCTACCAGATTTTCTGTGAAGTAGTGGGTCTGGAACGGGGTCCACTCAGCCTCGTGAGGATAACTGATGAGATATTTAAAGGAAAATAGGGGCTCCGGTATAGAAAACCGAAATTAACGGCCGTGGGGATCCGTTGCGCTGACCACGTGACACTCTTTTAACAGCAAAAGTTGGCACTAACGTTGCCGACAAGCGGCGGTCGCTCGGTCGGTATAGTTCGTTTGCGGACTACAGGCCACGAAGTTTTTTTGTGTGTGTTTCTTCTTGCCTTCTTGAATGTGGCGTCGTGATTGAGTTTATTTTTCTCTTTAGAGTGTGTTGTGTGCTTCTTATCGTGTGGACGCTTGTATTTTGTGTTGTTCCAGTTCCTAGTTGATGCTTGGCGTCACACCCTCCAATAGGCATTGACAAACGGTGAAAAAAATAACCTGAAAGTCATCGTGGTCTCGTCGCCACGCGTTCTTCCAGGCTTTACTCACGATCACCGTGTCACGCTACGCTATATACATACGGTGCGCAAAGAAATGAGTCAACAAACTATTGAAAAACGACCTGGGGAAAATAGGGTGCAAACGCTAATGAAACCTGTCTGCGTCAGGGGCAGTCACATGTAATTATAAGACCTGTCTCCATAAACAAAACAGAAAGCATAATTATTTGTTCTCTGTTCTAGACTGACGCCATAAAACGCTCGTGTTGGTCGCAGTGGCACGTATCCCATTCAGTACACAGAGAGCTGTTCACAAACCAACATGAAGAGGCTTCTGCCATTACACACACTGTTAATAATTATTCGGGTCCTGTCTCTAGGTTTGTACGTAGGTTGTATTATTCATATCTGTTGAAATGACGGAGCAGGTCACGGTAGCCGAGCGGTCTAAGACGTGCACTGTCTTCGCTCGGTCGGAAGCCGGGATCGTGGGTTCGAATCCCACTCCGGGCATGGATGTGTGTGCGTTTTTCCGTGTTTGTCTACAGGTAGAGGCCTTGCGACGAGCTGATCACCCGCCCAAGGAGTCCGGCCGAATGTGTAAGATCTCGAAAAACCTAAGTGAACGGAGAAGTTCATGGAGGTAGGCCTAGGCCCACTGAGGCTGTAGTGCCAAAGAAAAAAAATAACGGAATTTTAATGAATATCTTTAATGCTGTTTGTTATTCAGTTCACGTGAGAAGGACCTAATATATTCATGGTGCAAAGAGAAAGTTCAGACATTTCCTTTCAGCTTTATAAAGGAATAACAGTAACTCTTAGTGTCGTTGCAGCAGACTAAAGATTGAGGTGGGGATTTCCGTGGTGACGTCAATATTTTCTTTCTTACGTTTGTTTGGTTAAAATTTTTATTGTTTTGCTTCCTATTACTCTTCCCCAAAGCAAAGTGAACTGTTTTAATGTAAACTATACATAATTCTCCGAACAGTATATTAAAAAAAAACTCCGTGGCTGTGTCCGCAAGCGAACTATACCGACCGACCGAACAACCGCCGATTGTCGGTGAGGGTAGTGCCAACTTTAGAGGATAGAGGGTGTCGTGTGGTCAGCGCAACGAAACCCCACGGCCGTTAATTTTGGTTTTCTAAACCGGAGCTGTTACTTTTCCATCTAAATAGCTCCTCAATTATCCTCACGAGGCTGAGAGGACCACGTTCCAGACCTACTACTTCTCAGAAAATCTAGTAGCGTCGGGAATCGAACCCGGGACCTCTGGATCTGTAGCCTGGAACTCTGACCACTAGACCACAGTGGCGCTCACGTATTTTAAAGAACGCATTCATAATTTCATGATCATAAATTGTTAGTTTTCGGACACTAAGATCCGAGATGCATACAAACTATACTCGAGACGTAATTCTCCTGAACTATTTAACAGCTCGATAAAACTAATTTGGGCCCATGTGTTCCATTACACGCTTTATCACTACTCTCAATAATTTTGTTGCCCGTCTAATGTCCACTGAAGAGTTTTGACTTGAAAAAAGATTTAAGATTACTCTTAATTTTTTATTAAATTCTTTATCTTTAAATTGTGTATCTTCTTCTTTATCTGTATACCATGTTTACGTGTGCGTTAATGCCTCTCGACATTTTGATTAATCTAATGAATCATTTCTTCATGAAATCTGTCAGTCAAACTCTCCTGAATATGTTCGACTTGAGGTTCTCACAGCTGTGGCTATGAAGATTTCTCTCATGTGGGATATGACGTCATGTAGTCCGGTGAAAGTCAACCAATTCGGGGAAAATATTGCCTCCATCTTAAGGGTCGAAGGGTAAGCCACGTTAGAAAGCATCATGAAGCAGGCAACAAGCAGAATAAGCAGTGTTTGCTACATGTTCCATGCTGCTTTCTTACATGGCCTATCCTTATATACTGAAGACGTAGACTATATATTTCTCCGAAACGTCGGTTGACTTTCACTGGACTATAAGGAGGTATATCCCAGCAGATAGAACTCTTCGCTCTTGAGTAATTCTTTATGCTGTGCCTTGAAGAAAATGTCGATTGAGCTACAAAGTAATAAAATTAAAAGAAACTCTCCTGAACAATATTTTAGCGAGTGCCTGTAAGCACTGCTACTGTCTTAATACTACGAGGGAGGGTCAATAAATGGGTCACAAATGGAAGTAAAGAAGCTGTAATGGACGTAATAGGTTCCCTGTGTGTATCACCAGGTAGCAGCACAATCCAGCTTCATGCGAGTCTAGGTAGCAGAAGCGCATGTCTATATTCAGAGGCTGATTTCAGTAGTCAAAATTGCAACCGTGCTTGAGGATATACTACCGAAGAGTAGATTTCTCTTGTGCATTTTTATGGGCAAAATAACTCTATGCATAAGACATTCATGAAAAGAAATGTTTCCTGTTTATGGTGGGAAGTCTTTGTCGCGTAAAGCAGTTCACATCTGGGTCAAGAAATTCTCTCAAGGACGTTCGAAAGTCGTAGATGATGCCCGACGATTTCGCCCTGTTAATATTGCGACAGAAGCAACTGTGCAGGAGGTGGAAGAGTTGATTCGAGCTGACAGGAGGATAGCGACAGCAGCGTAGCAACTGCACTAGAGTGTTCCATGGTTTAACATACAGCATAATGCATGATCGTTTGAAGTTTCGGAAAGTGTGCGCACGGTGGGTGCCAAGAGAACTGAAGGATCCAGAAGAAATTAACTGAATGGGTCTGTCCTTGCAACATCTCTTACGCTATGCAGATGAAGATGACATGCTTAAAAAGATTGCTAAGGGGGACGAATCATGGGTGCATCACTATCAACCTCAATCAAATCGTGCTTCAGTGCAATGCAATCATCCTTTCATCCAAAAAGTTTAAGGTTACGAGTACGCCATCAGCTGGAAAGGTTATGCTTACCATGATTTGGGATTATCAGGATGTACTAGTAGTCCATTTTCAGAAACGTGATGAAAATGTGAATTCTGCATCGTACTGTGCAGTTCAGTTGAAGCTACGGGAGTAATTCGCAGAAAACGTCCAGGCCAACTGGCAAAAGGGGTACTGCTTCGTCATGACAATGCCAGACACTATACAGCTTAAGCAACAGGGGAGGAAATTCTAGAAATATAGTGGGAAATTCTTGAAGACCTTCTTTACAACCCGAACTTGGCCCCTAGTGACTTCCATCTGTTTGGTCTGCTAAAAACCACCTTGGTGGCAAATGTTTTGCTGATGACTAGGTAGTTGAAATGGGGGCGCGGAAGTGGCTGAGACAACAGTCAAAAACTTCAATGCTGCGAGTTTCGACGCATTGGTAAAGAGATGGGACAAGTGTATCAATGTTGGTGGAGGATATGCCGAGAAATAAATGTTTTTCTAGGTTCGAAAATCACATATCCATTTGTAACCTATTTATTGATTCTCCCTCGTAGTTTCTTAATACTAGTTTGCATTACGCAACTAAATGGTGTATAATGTTGATGTAAATAAAAACAAGGTCAATAATATGAATCATCAAATGCATGGCCGATTTTAACACCAGCTACTTTAACAGTTCAGTTCACTTTGAGCTCTTTTCCTTTATAATTTCTTCCTCTTCCGATTAAGGCCATGGAAGAGTGTATCTTCTCCAATACAATATAATTCTGAAAATTTTTGCAGCTCTCTATGTGGCTACTTTCATATTTCAAAAGATAATAACAGAAAACCATTTGCATGGGGTTTCCTGTGGAGGAAACTGAGGTGCCACTTCACGTCTAGATCTGTCAGACGTTTGTTGAAGCAAATAATGTGTCCACTTTGGAGTATCTTCATTCTTGACTGAAAAGTTTCACAACTTTCAGAACCTACTGTCACCCTGCTTTATGTCTCCAGCCTCAGTACAAACACCCGAACGTTTAAAGACCTACCAATGTTACTACCCAATGGTTATCGGAAGTGCTTTCCCCAACCATTTTTAGTGCTTTTATATTGAAAGGAAAGTTACTTTCATACTCCTCAGAAGCCTTTATGATATAGCTTTCAGACACTTCAGAAGATCCACGTTCAATCCCAAGGCAATACACATGAGTCCGTGATGGGCCAAGTGGCACTCTCGCAGCCTGTTTTCCAGTACTTCAGTTTTCTTCTGCCATCATTCCACCAAAGCCTCGTTCATATGTACCGTCACCTCCAATATAGGGGCCGGTACAATTGGTCCATTCGAGGCTGCAGTACGGAGTTAATTTTATGACACATCTTTTTCTTTTTTTTTTTGCCAGATTCATTAATAATTCATATCTAATATATACACGTCTATTGAATTCAAATCATAGCTCAGGCGTCACACTCCACCATTCCCACAACTAGCAGATCACCATCAGAAGCTGTTCATGATGCACGTGAAGAAGAATCATTTGACGGGCAGCCATCTATTGCGGATGGTATCTGGTCTCCAATACTAGAAGACTGGGCACTTTCTGCAGTCACCCGCGATCAGAAAGTGATGAAGAACAAACCTTATTACATCACGAGACCCGGAGATAAGCCTCCAGTAGGGGGAAGCAAAGAGGTCACAGAAACAGACCTCTACTTGCTGGGTGCCATCGAGAAATTAGTGTACAGAGTTGACTTCATGGAGAAGAGGCTGAGAAGAATGGAAGATTTACTCTACCATGTCATGGCAAGCGGCAATAAAGCTCAAGGTAAGTGGAACAGCTGCCTACTCTTATCACTGAAACCGAAAGTAGGCACAGGCTCTTCGGACTTACTTGTCCTTTTTCCCAACAGAAGTTAACCACACTGGGCGACCTGGGTTCTGATCGTGATAGAAGCATTGGGGGATTTTCTTTATTACTTCCTATTTCCTGGGCTAACTGCACCTGTGACCCTTTTTCTGCAGTAAATGTAGAGTATTGCGAATATGATCACTTTTCTTCAAGTAGTACCAGGGTCTAAAAAGCAAAGAACTCTACCACCATGCTCTCCACACGCCTTCACCGCATGATGTTTCGGTAAAGGGGTAGTTTTACTTTCACTTTCTTCCAAATATAGCATTATTAATTCCATGGTTTTGAAAAGTTAATATTTCCAATGGAATTCAGTATTTATCGAGACAATGTCGCGTATTTACTCTTTGCAAGAACTGCTGAACCACAGAAACAGCCGTTGCTAAGTAATATACGTGTATAACAATAGGACAATGGGATTATACAACCCGTTTCTAGGCAACGGCTCGATAAACACGTTCCGCGAACACGCAACAACGGGAACTGTGTTCTCTGTGGGCTATCCTACAACTAGTTACTAGGTTATACAATAATTCTGACAACAGAGGAGGGTGTTTTCTATGTGATGTGTGCCGAAAAATGATAAGAGGTTCCAGAATAATCGAGAAGTCAGGGTCGCGAGTCCGAAGGGACTCTGACCCGAGAAAGACTGCGCTGCCAAGGGCCATAGCATGTACAAATGACAGATTCGTCCTCCCTTCAGAAAGGGCGCCCCATAAAAAACAAGACCGTAACTGGGAAACAATAATAAACATCAAGACTTACTGACTGACCGTCAGTCGCAATGTGACTTTGAGTTTGACGAGAAGTCAGTTGTAGCTGAGAAACCGTGAGACAAGGACACGAAGCCGTCATGGAAAGCAGATGAGAGGTCAGTCCAGGAGAGTTCAGTTGAGTACGAGAGGCCATGAAGGATACAATCAGTTGCAAGAGTGCGGCTATGCTGAGAATTTATGTGTAATAACTGGAGTGTGTAATTTAGGGAGACTGTTATAGTTCCTGTGTTATAAATCCGTTGCCGAGAAACGGATAGTGAAGACAATGCAAAGGCGTAGCCATTTTTGAGATCTGTTAACCAGCAACAACTAGTGTAAGCAGCCGTTGAAGAAGTTATTTGTGTTATTGTAATCTTTAGAGTGTTATAATTATTTGTAATCATGACCTTTAAGTCTAATTACCAATCAGAGCTCCGTCTTTATTCACCGATACACGTGAAAATATTCTAAATTTCATAGCCACTTTCATGTCAAATGAAGCTGTAAATGAATGTAACACATAACATAAAAGAATTGCTAGATTATTCCAATTAATAATAAAAAGCATGCCCATGAATTAATGCACAATATTTACTCGTACAATTAACTAATAACTACTCAACCCAATCGCCACAATCAAGCGGTAAGAACTCTATTTTACATTCAAGCCTTAGGTTAATTTCTCAAACTTGAAGAAAATTATCCTGCTTGAGGATACATGTGATTTTACTCGGTCCCTTCAGACAAATCCTGATTAACTTCTGCACTTTAGAAGTTCATCATTCGCAATCATAATCCCACTTCAAGAATATCGTCTTCTGAGATGTAAAACAATCTTTATTTGTTGCCTTCTTCTTGTTGGCTGCTTGCTTAGCTTACTCTACTACCTTGAACATGGAGGCGGCATTCTCCTCTGAAACATCTGTTAATATCTACTACATTTCACGACATCAGATCAAAGAAGACATTACTCTTTATTATCATTGCCGTGAGAACTGCATATTCCACATAATCCCATTTTCTCTTCCCAGATAACCTTTGTCTTTGTCAAAGTATAATTATAATGTGACTTGTCAACGCTTTGCCAGCCAACGACTCGATAAACACCCCACGATAGCGCAAGCAACAATAGAACAAATGTTTAGAGCTTGTTGCTAGGCAACAGTCAGCGCACCAGTACTGGCGAGATAGCTATTACGTGACTTGTTTCATGTGTGGTCTGCGCTACGCGGCAGTGAAACTGTTTTCTGTGTTGTTCGTGCAGCTCATATAGAACGAAGGCCTATTTTAGCTTAGGTTAACACAGAGCACTTGAGAGCACAAGGTCGAGAATGGAGCGCGTCATTAGAGAATTGTGAATATTAATTGAGTACAGATTATGACAGAGGAGTACAGAGTGATTGAAGACGGAATAACAAGAAGACCTTAGAATGATTTGAAATGCTATTTTCTGTGTTGAGATCCGTTGCTAGGGGACGGAGAATTCTCGTGTGTATGCAACAGTGAACTGTAAAGTGTGTAAATCAGCGACAGGGCTGTATTAATTGTAATTAAGGGAGAGAGTGTAACCGAAATGCTAATAAATCCAATCATTCGAAATGGAATCCGTTATTTTCGTCACGTGTACCACAATACACGTGACAATATACACTTAGAACAATTAGAGAACAGATGCAGAAAAGTATATCCCCGTATAATGTACCATAAGAAAAACAGCAAAATACGCTTAACATATCCAACTGAATTACTAACAAAATATCTGTTTTCATTCTCACTTGTAGAACCTTGCCCTACAAATTTTTCAAGAGTTGGTGCTTACTGTTACCACTTCAGTGAGAGAGAGCTGAACTGGAAGTCATCAGCCTCTATGTGCAGGGCACTGGGTTCGAGGCTTGCAGAATTAGAGACTGTTGAAGAAAATCAGGACATAGTAGCCTTCCTGCAGGCCACTTCAACTCTTCGAGGTAGTATACATTTACTATACATAAATACTTTTTAATCATAAGTTTCTCTATATAATATTGTGACATTTGGACCCGTTGCTAGGCAACGACCGCTAAATAATCAACTATACAATAGCAGTTGCTACTTCACAGCTCCACCAACAGACTTGAACGCAACAATTCCACAGCAAAAATTGCACTGAAAGAGGAGTGGTGTTTTCTAAGCGGTGGTGTCGAGATGTTATATGCAGGCTAAATTAGTGGCCAGAGAAAGTCAGTGGAGTTTGTAAGTTGGTTGGTGAGTCTATTGTCACTCTATACATGTGAAAATACCAAGAGGTCACTGACATTCAATAAAACCAGTAAGTATCACACACGTATGAGCTGGGATAGCACAGTCGGTATAGCGACTGGCTACAGGCTGGACAACCAAGGGGTCGCAGTTCGAGTCCCGCTGGGAAGAATTTCCACTTTTCCATATTGTTCAAACCGGCTCTGGGGTCCACCCAGCCTCCTATCCAATAGGTACTGGGGATAAAGCGGTCAGGGGGTGAAGTTTACCACTCACCACCAGCTAGTGCTGAAGTCAAGAAAACGTGGGTCTATATATCCGCTCCCCCATGTCTTCATGCTGTAATGCTTAATTAGTTAAGCACAGGGACTTTACTTTCACCACAGAAGTATTGTGTTAAGTGATTTTAGTGCAAAACTAGGAACAGAATACTTTTTTAAACTAAAGATTGGGAATGAAACTATACACAGAACTAATATCCAAAAGTTCAGTGTTCCCTTATCATAATATTCACAAATACACTTGGGCTTCTCGTAATGATATAAGATGCAATCAGAAATGTTAACTCTTTATGTAAACAACTAAACAACGTGAATGTTTAAGAGCACCATCAGGTTAATATGTCAAACAGGTTTACAGCTCTGGAAAACTTGGATGATAACCTGTATATAAACAGGCCTTGCGAAAGCATCCGACCAAACTTCAAGTAAAAACACTATAGATAGCTTCAACCAGTCTCATGAGAACTGTTCCAAATTACGACATCAACAGAAGCAGGTTGCAGTGTTTGTAAAATCAGTTTCATTTTTAAATATTACACAACTTATTAGGTCATACGAAGTTCTTGCATTCTATTAATTAACATGATACACCTGTATATGTATGATTCTAGATCTCATCACAATTAATAAAGAAATTTTATATTATAACACAACAGGATGCATGAAATGAAAATTATATTATTATTATTATTATTATTATTATTGTGGAACCTTATTTGGACTTTATCCATTGTCTGACTTAAACACTATATTTTGGAGACTACCTCTGTTTCTGTGCTGAGAGAAGCATGTCCTACTGGACCCATTAGACACCTACTGATGAAGATTAGCTTTGTCTAATGGGCCCGAAAGGGAAGGCTACTCTACTTTGTGTTTCACCTATGGACAGAGAGTGATTCAGTCTTTTGTAATTTTACATATTAATCAGGCAATTGATGATAATGTGGTACATAGACCTGTTGCTGGGAAATTACAGCAAATATACAGCAGCTATTAATAAGTAACATCTTCACAAACAAGCGTGTTTCCATAGCAACAAGTGATTACAGCAACATAGGAGTGGTGTTTTCTGTGCAGTCTGCACTAAGATGTTATAAGCAGGACAGCTAGTGAAGTCAGTTGAAACCCCTGTGGAGGCGGGGTCGAATACCTCTACTGTGACCCTGTGAGTCACAGGAGGCGAAACAGTAAAATGACGTCACAAGTCATGAGTCCCAAGGGACTTGGACCTGAGAAAGACTGCACTGGCAAGGGCCAGGAGCATATTCAAAAGACACACTCGTCCTCTCGTCAGAGAGGGCACCCCACAAAAAAAGACCATAACTGTCAAATAGTAATAAATAACTGGTCATAAGCCCCAGATGGGGCTTGACACCAAGACTTACTGACTGACCGTCAGTCGCAATGTGACTTTGGCTTGAAGTCAGTTGAATGAAATTTATACAGACAATTGGTTGGCGAGTGAATGAGTTAGTCATTCAGTCAGTGAAATGCTGGGGCTCAGTCGTTGTGAGCCGTTGTTATGAAAAGGTGGTAGCTGATAGTTCGGGAACCTAGATTAAGGGGAACACCCACAGTTGAAAGCCAGTACCAAACGAGTGAAGATGTGACTGTGGACACATGTGTGCATGTGCACACATGCAATAGTAGATTGTAAAGTGTATTAAAGCACTCTGTCAAAGAGCCCAATAAGTCTAATCATCAATCCAAAACCTGTCTATAGTTACATACGAAATCATGTGACAATAATAATAAAATACCACTGTTATTAAACTTTAGGGCAGTATTATTAAAAATGTATTGAGGTCATTGTAAAATGCCTTTAAATTTTATAAAAATTGCTTACCAAATTCCACAAGTCCAAGTCCATAGTATATGGACATAAGAAAACACATCTGAAATATTTTATCACAGTGCAGAGAACCGTTCTCTTTTTTTTTGTCAGTTTTGGTGATCAGAAATGCAGAAAAATATAAAACAATCTAGATACTCTCATTAATTATTATCCCATTCACACTTAAACTTAATATTCACAGGGAAAGACTTCTGGACAGGTGGACTAAATCCTGGGTTACTCTGGATATGGTCGAATAGTGCTCGTCCTGTGGCTTCTAACTCCACAGAAAATCCATCCAACAACAATAATATTAAAGGTAATGGACGATGCCTAAAGCTTGCATATAATCCTACACTTAGGGGATATGAATATCAGGGAGCAGAATGTTCTGTTCGGGCCAGTTACATTTGTGAGTATGAAGAGAATTCAACAAGCAGAGCACTTGAAGAAATTCAGAAATCTTTACAAGAAAACTCCCCAAGTAGTGAGAAAACTAGAAAATTGTGAACTTGTTGAAATATGATGCCAATATGTCAGTCACCAAAAATGCAAATGAAGTGTAATGAACTACAGGGGTGAATTATATGGACATGCTGAGCACCAAATCAAGCAGTAATAGGCCCCAAGAGAGAAATGTAGCAACCTTTCAAATTTCAGGTTTTTCAGCAATATTGCTATTCAACTTAATGGTAACAAAAATGGGGTATCTATAAACTTATTTTGCAATTTAACTTGTGAATATTTCCAAGTTTTCTGCAGTTGCTGTCATGCTTGCTGCTTTGTCTAGTAGCCAGACTTCTTGAAGAACACTGTGGGAAAATGGATTAGTCACAGCTGCATGACTGCTCTTGCAAGTTCTTTTTACGGGACTTAACTATGTGCCTAAGGCCGCGTCATAGCTCAAGCAGTTAGTCCCTGGCTTCCCACCACGGCGGCCCAGGTTTGATCCCGGGTCTCGTCAAGTGGGATTTGTCGTGGACAAAGTGGCGCTGGGGCAGGTTTTCTCCGAGTACTTCAGTTTCCCCTGCCAATCTTCATTCCACCAACTGCTCCACAATCACCCTCACCTATCATCTGGGGCTGGTACAATAGGCCAGAAGTGGCCACAGTACAAGGGACTTGGTCCCACCCCACTAGCATTAAAAAAAATTAGCTATGCGACTCCTATGTGAAAGCAAACTGAAGTGTTCCATATTTCAGTAAATATTATTATATCAGCTAAGAACTATAAAAATTTTCTGTCTTTTGGGATATAACATCAAGCAGTTCAGTGAAAGTCATTTGGTGTTTTGGTGGAATACATCACGTGCATCTTCAGGTTTGAAGAGTATGCCCGCATGAAATAAACAGCAAGAACTGATGCCTGCTTCATGCTTATTTCTTCCTTGGGTTACTACTTGACCCTGTAAATGATGGCCATATGGTCCTCCAGACATCAGTTGACTTTCAGGAGACTACATGACATTATATCCGAAGACAGAAAATCCTTGTATTCATTGCTGCGAGAACATCAAATCCTAGAGGGTAACAGCTAGATGGCTTGTAGATTACTGTCTCATATGTACTGTGGAAGTTATATTTATGTAGTCTGGAGTAAATAATATAACAGTTTTGTATGCAAGCTCCTTCAAAACTACCAAAAATAATAAAGGAATGATTTTATACATGCAGAATACTAGTAATTAAAAAGAATGGTAGCATAGTTGGTTCAAGAGCTATGCTACAGATTGGAAGGTCATGGGATCGAATCCTGATGTCACTGGATTTTTCAATTGACCTAATCCTTTCAGCTGCACTATGGTTCTGGGGCCGACTCAGCCTCTAACAGAAATGAGTACCAGGAATATTCCTGGGAGGGGTAAAGGATGGCCAGCATGTAAGGCTGGTAACCTTACTGCTATCTATGAGCCGACTATCTAGAAGATGTGAGAGCCTCGATCTCTCACACTCCTATGGGCCTTCACATTCTGTTATAGGGACAGCTTTAACTTTTATTTTTTTTTTTAACTCTTAACAGGCATGTTCAACAAAAGAAATCATAAAGCGCATAGTGAAAACTATGATAAACTTTTCCCTTGTAATAAACAACCATTACATTCAAATGCAACTATTCATTGTTAAGTGATATTCAAATTGGTGAAAGTCAAAATTATACAGGCCAACTGAATGAACAATCAATACTAAAGACTTCATTATTCACTGCTATTATAGGCACTAAAAATTAAGAACATATATAACTGCTTAATAAATGCTTAAAAGTCATATTAAAGAATAAAACAAAGCTGGTTTTCGGTGGTGTTGGCATTTAGAAATATGTCACATAGATTACTGAAGGCTTTCCAGTCTTTTAACAAACAAACTCTGAAGCTGTTATCTTTGGGGGGTGTGTCACATTAGGAAGTGTGTTGGAGGTGAGTTTGTGACTACATGAACATACGAGCAGAATGCTAATCAATAGGGAGCAACCAGGAGGTTACTGAAAAATGTGAAAAGTGTTCTGGAGATCAAGTGAACTTGAAAAGAAGTCACAAAAAATGATTCAGCAATCATGTGGTCAATAAAAATGTGATGAAAAGTATTTGTGATCCTAAGAAGAATGGGTGGCCTTAAATGGTGCATTCCACCTCCCCATATATATTACCATACTTCACAAAATTTTAGGCCCTATATCAAGTTGTGTTCATTTTACTTCCACAGAGCCACCATGATATTCATGAGTTTAATCAAAAACTGTCAATCAGTTCCAAAGTTCTCATAAACCCATGTTATCTTACAAAATAACTACACTAAAAACAAATACTTTCTAAAATAACATGCTTCATAGTATTATATAAATATATGATAACATGTCTTCAAAATAAAATTCATCCAAATGAGTGATGTAGAAACAATGAAATATTGGTCCATTATGTACTTATCTTATAAACCAATGTAACTGTAAACCAGATGTGTGGGGCATTTCAGAAATAAATAACCAGACAAATATAAAACAACTGTTTTATTGTCTACATTTAATTTGTACCACCTCCTCCCCCAGTACTGGATTAAAGGCCAAACAAATGGAGCACTGCTCAACAGTCCCACAATGCAGTGAAATGATGAAAACTCAAAAGTTTTAAAAGGTTAATACTACATGAACAGATATGAGACATCCTTGTAAACTTTCATCTTATGATTATTTTCTTGCGAGGAATTTGAATCCCTTGCATTAACGTCAATAATTCTGTATTTCAGCATCCTGTTGCCATTGTTTAACTTCACTTCCAGGTATTTATCATCCGTCAATATTGCAACACTTGTTTATTCGCTACTTAATTTTAATTTTAGATCAACACTATACACTTTGACACCACATGTTTCGGCCCCAAACGACCACTAGTTCACTAGTAAAGACAACACCACACGCTGTGGAGGAAACGTGAAAACCAGGGGCATATGGCAGTCATAACTGAAAAGTAGGCTACAAACATGAGCGGCAAGCTGCCAAGACAAAACACCCTGGACAAACATACATTTATGAATGGACGACACCCCATGTGAGGTGAAATAAAATGCACCAAAATAATGTGGGTATAATAGAAACTTTAAAGGATTTTATCTGGTTTTACCTTGAAAAGAGAACTACAGCATGTGATTTTAAATCGGACTAAGACAGTGTAGCAGTTTTAACATAATTCAATAAAATATTTGTAACATATCAAGACACCTGAAGATGGTCGTTTGGGGCTGAAACATGTAGTGTCAAAGTGTCTAATGTTACACTAAAATTAAAATTAAGTAGTGAATAAACAAGTTATGCAATATTGACGGACGATACATACATGGACATTAAATTAATGTCAATATTTGAATGGCTACCTGCTCTGCCTGCAATGCACATTTAAATATGAAATGATGCCATCTTCCTCATGTTTGTTCATGTTAGTGTTTCTTGGTATTTGTTAGCCAAAACACACCTCATGGCATCCATATAGCAAGTGTTTGAAACAGAAACTAATATTTGAATGGTCTCTGTTCTCGTGTTCTTGACATCAATTATAAAGGCTAGGTTATAAAAAGTGACTATAAGCCTGCCTTAATTGTGCCAAGAATGCGTACAACTTTTCCTCGGGTCAGACTCAATGCAAAGTGTTAAACTGTTACAATACTCCTTTCTACCTTTAACCCAGCCTTGGTTCTTCACTCCTGCATTTTAATAGACCACTCTAAACTGTACAAATACTTATTACAATCAATACATATTTTACATTACAATTAAGAAAACATACTTCCACAGGTATAAGCATGAGTATGACAGTATGAGCTAATTACCGGAGAAGATTCAAATGTGTGCAACAAATATCCCAAATTCACTTCTGCAGGTTCTTTTATTATATCATGTAATGTCAACCCCTATAATAAAATTCAAAACTACAAATTTGGCATGTGTCTTATCATGTACTGACCACATACATTTCTTATTATTTGCTTAACATTCAAGGGTACAGTATTAGTGCACTTACTGCCAGCAGAAATTGAAAAAAAAAATACCAGCTTAGCTCTTCTGAAAACCTAACACTGTTGTCTGAACTTAGTTTTGTGACCATCTATGGAAATTGTGCTACATAATGCTTTTTATGTGGTATGGTGGTCATTTTTCTTTTATTTTAAGAGTTGAGTGAGGACAAGTCCTTTGGTACTCATGCTGCTAGCAGACCCATAATACCCCCGAACCCTAATTACAGATAAAAGAAAAGGAACACTTGATGCAATGAGGACTGGCTGAGGAAACCCAAGTACTTGCACAAAACCTGCCCCAGTATCAATCAGTCCACCACTGATCTGGAACTGAACCCAGGCTGCTGCAGTGAAAAGGCACAAACTAACTGCCCGAGTTATAGCACAGCTTACAACATTTGCATGCTGCTACTGAAGTAAGAAAATGATCCTCACTCTCACAGACTTTAGCTGTTCCTAGGAACAGTCCCATCACTCAATTCAAGCATGTGTTATACTATGTGAGGTGCTTATGGTGGCATCAAGCAGTATTACAGAGACATTCTGTCACAGCAATGCAATGTAACCAGACCTCTCACTCATATCACATGACTACTGCTTGGCAAACAAAACACATTTTTTGTGTTTTTTGGCATCACAAAGGCGATGACAAGAAAAATGACTCACCACTAATATTGTACCATGGCAGCTGAGAGACTGAAATAATGGAGCCCAAAGAGACGGCCGTTGCTAGGGAACGGCCGATAAACATGTTTCTGCTGCAATGAATATGTGACACCATAATAGAGGAAATGTTGGAAATTGTGTTTTCTATTGGGTCCGTGCTGAGGCTACATAAAGAGAACCAAATCGAGAATGTGAGGGAAGGGAATACAACTTCCACCCCAACAAGCTGCAACTGCTGGTTGGTGGAAGAAAAAAAAAATCATCCAGTCAGGGCTGCAGACAGGCGAAGGAGGAGAGGCGCAAGAAGTCGCAGAGGACACTGAGGTCTACAATAGGAAGGGTGTTCTCTTCCAACCTCACCACTCCAGGCATCCTTCACAGTGGTGCTCCAGGGTAAGACAGAGGAACTGCAGCAGCCTCAGACACATCAGGTGGCAGTGGTAGGTCCTGCCATAATGGAACCCGGGGTCTCTGCAGCCTTACCCCAGCACAAACAGCGGACAAGTCAGTCAGTTCGGGCCTCTAATGTAAACAGTGTGCCTCTGGACAAAATGTTGAAAGTAGTAATTACAGTAGTACAGCAGATTATGACAGAGTTAAATGGTGCTGTGTTTGAGAAGGCTAAAATAGTGACCATCACAAAACCTGTCTTAAATCTCGTGGAGCAAAATGGCCTGGACTGACAGAGATGTTTTATATATCATATATGCATTTACTATCATGTAAAGTGTAAATTGTACATACTGACAACAAACTTATTACTGCTCACTGTGACTCTAGCAAATGACAGACCCATCCTCTTGTCAAAGAGGGCACCCCACATCAACAAGTCTGCAACTGTCCGACAGTAATAAAGATCTGGTCAACTGACTGTCCGTTGTAATATAACTTTGACTTTGAATGTGAGGGAATTTGGAGCCATGGGTTTGCTGTGAGACAGCCACAAGCCCATAACGATGTGAGCAGAAGAGGACATTGTTGGGATACGTTACCAGGCAACGACTGGTGATGACACAACATAGTGAGACGACTAAGTATTCTATAATGAATTCCACAGTCTATGAATTTGAGATAGCGCTATAATTCTTTGCATTTACAATTTATAAGAGTTCAACAAATCCAATTACCAATCCCATTCCCATTTAGTCACTTATATACATGACAATATAATCAGCTTTATACAAACCCACAACCAACAAGCATATATTTTTGAAGAAAATCACCACAACCACGACTGTGTGGGGTACTCGGCATTTTCCTGAAAGCATAAGGCCATAAAGCTGAGACTCAGACAGTATATCCATTTCTCTAATTATACCAGACAATATGAAAACACCCATTCATAGGTGTAGTGTAATGGGAAACGGAATAATTTCTATAGGAAAGATATAAACAATTTGCTTTATTCCAGTTTAATTGAAACGCATGGCTGGCAGCCATAACGCACAAATATTAGAGAGCAACAAATCACTACTGCTTTGTCTGCAGCTGAAAACAAGTAAAATTCAGTCTGAAAGAACAATGATCAAAGCATCGGATATTACAGAATTCAAGTGAAAGGAGGTGGAATGTATTAATCTCACTCAATGGCAGACTCCTGCAGACATTATAATGAACTTCTGGGCTCCATCTTTTCAGACTCAAAAGCTAGAATAAAAAGACAGTGCTTGAATGATTAAATGGTGTGTTTAACTTTGAATCGTAAATGAACTAATGGACATAGAAGAAGACAAGGTGTATAAACAGTACAGTGTGTCACAATTCTTATCACTTGCACAGATATAATGTGACATGGTCATGAAAATGCATACTGCATCCTTCCAAACTGTTACCATTAGTTAAGGGCAGCAATTTTACGCATGGTTTGAAGATCACGAAGCAGCATCTGAATTGTCTGTTTCGTTTGTGGATAGAAGTCGGGTCCTTCATCTTTTGCAGCATCTGGATCCTGAGATTCGAGAGCTGAAACAGATATGTTTCGTCTCTTCTTCAGCAACAAATTTAACTCATATGGATCTAACTGTTCTATCTCAGTGGTCCATATATGCATACTAAAAAGTTATTTTAACTTCCATAAATTAATACCTCAGTATTATAAACCACAATTAACAACTTGCAAAGAGGTATTCTATAATCACACAGTCTACGTGACAATATTGCTTCAAAAAAAAGAGTTGCTTTAACTCGCATTGCAAAGCAATGTTTTAACGCAAACTAAAATAGTCCTCATTTGTCCATATAATGGTATAGCTGGCTGTTAGAATCAACAATGGCTTGTGCCTTTTCTACCATATATACACAATCAATAACAGTAATTCCACAATCATTTACTAATAAACTAAAGTCATCATCAACAAATAGTGCTAATCTTCCAACACAACACTTGAGATTTGTAATTACACGTATTATATCATACTGTATTTCAGAGAAGTCACAGGAAAACTGAATTTCAAATGACACATTTTTTTAATTGTAACATGTGAAAAATACCATGCAGAAACTAGCAAACAGCTGAGATATGAACACAGAACAGTAACATTATTATTCACTTTAATATGCTGCAAAGACCTGATACAGTGTGATCATAAGAGAGAAAAAAAAACTTATTGGTAAATTAGTTAATCTTTCAAACACAATTTACAAGGTACAAGATTACAGCTAAGTGACTGCTACACCAACCTGCAACTTGCTCCTCAAGCATTGTCAGCCTTGTGTCAATCTGTGTTTGGAAGTGGTCAATGTGATCAAGTAGACATGACCGACACTCAACAGGGTCAATGGGTGCCTCAGGTTGAGGTGCTCTTGGAGGTTCAGCCACAGGAACCGGGCCTGATGCAGCGGGGCGACCTGGTTCTACAATATCAGCATGGTTAAGCACAAACCAGGTGCTTGTAAGGCACACTACAGAAATGCAAATCACCCAAGAACTGGTACCTGGCAGTGCTATATGGTGCCACATCTTGCAACAGTAGAAAGATTCATTCTTGAAATGTCAGTGACTATTTTTGTATTAAAAGCACTATAACAGCATCTGCATTATTCCTTATGAATAAATACAGAATATGTCCCTATCTTCTGTAAAGGGCTCAATGTATGGTAACATGATTCACTATTCACACAAGGCTGTAAATCATTCACCACGAAATATGAAATCCATATGCAACATGCAGCACACATAATTATTTTATTTTCCAGATATAATATTGTGACATGTTGTGCAATGGAGGACACCCCTCCCACCCCAGCGGTACGTGGCGGCATTGGAACACTGTCGTTACTATGGTAATAGGCAAGTCAACAGCCCACCCTTCTCCTCGCAGTTACGTAACACGGCGCCAGGCAACAGCGGTACCCATTACGTAACAGGTAAACACTGGACTATATAAGAGAACTGCACTGCCTACGAAGCGAGTGAAAGTGTATCAATGGCCGAAGAGAGTTCTCAAGGCAGCAGCCTACGAGTTGAGTTGGAAGGGAGTCAGCAGTCAGTCAGTGTGTGATCAGGAGTGACACAGTTGGAGTATAGCAGCAGTCACGGAATGAAGAACTAGACGTGTGTGTAATTGTGTAATTGGGAGCGTGTGATACAGGGACACCTACACAGCTCCCGTACTGTGAATACGTGTAGCCTACTGAAGATAGAGTGAACAGATTATTGTGAATAGGGTTATAAAGTGTGAAACCCCGCAACAGTGTAAACAGATTATTGCGAATAGAGTTATAAAGTGTGAAACCCCGCAACTGTGTTATAAATAATTGTAGCCATTACTTGTAGGTTGTTGAATAAACCAATTAACGATCTCTACGGCGTATTCAGTAACGAAACACGTTACAATATATTTGTCTTGGATAGATGAGTATAGTTGTTATGTTCTGCTCATGCATATGCCATGCAGGATATGACCCAATACTGAAGACGCTGATAATCCTAAATAGCCATATTAATAAACTATAAAATGCAGATATTCCAGAATTATTATCAAAGACATTTTAAAAAACATCTGTGCATTCTGAGGACACATACTTAACAGTGTGTATGAAGTATATACCCCATACTTATGGGGTATAAATGTTCAAGCTATATGAAGGAAGAAGCTAGTAGGTGTGTAACCTGGAAGATTACATTGGTATAAATCCACAGAACAAGACCCAAACAATTCATTTAGTGTAATAACGTACAAAAGAGTTGTGAAACAATAATAACTGAGGAGTAAACAATGCATATGGAAAGGTGTTCGTAAGTCCGACACTTTTTAGCCAGGAAGAGCTCGAAATGTAATGGCACAAATGCCAAAACATTTACAACAAAAGATAAAAACTTCCCTCACATAATCAAATGGCAGTACTGTATCTTATTTTGTGGTTTTAAAGGACAATAAAGTAAGAATGGGTGCTTGGAGAAAATCATAAATGCTCTAAAACATCTGCAACCCACAGGGCAATTAAAGTAATTAAGTACGATCACCCCTTAGAAGTGGATGATTCAATCAAAAATTAATCAATGACAATCTCTTACACCTAGAAAACATTCTAAACACACATGCTAAAAAAAAGAGTTATGTGCTAGTCAAATTTTTTAATAATATAATGTGACAGTAGATCATTTGGCTGTCTAGAACTATACACCATTGCATAGTGCAGAAACAGGTTTTCTTTACGGCCAATAAAGGTTAAGGAAAATCTGGGCAATGAATTGATAATTTAGCCAGTTGGTAACAGATTTGGCAATTATTTCCTGCTGACACTTAGGAATGAATGAGTTTAAACTCTCAAACTGCAGTAAACTTACCTGTTGCACTCAGATTATCTGCTATGGTACTGGCAAACTGCATGAGCTCCGACTGACAGATTGGTAGCTGCAACATGGGATGACCTGAAGTATCCAACTGACCTCCTATACCACCATTATTTAGAGGATTTGCATTTGTTATAGTCTGATGCAACAACCCAGGACTCTCCAGTCGTGACATGGTCTCATCAGGTTTCTTCTCACTATTGGACTTCACTGTTTCTTCAGTTGGGCCTGGATCTAGCTGCTTAGGGACATCTTCTGAGGAACTGCACATGTCAGTTACTTCTAACTTCTCTTCTGAACAAACTTCACTGATGCAACCTTCTTTCTTTTCAGACTGCACTACCTGATTTTCAGAACCAGCATCAGAAATTTCTTCTTTTGCTTGTACTTTTTCTGCAGCAGGGTATGCTTCACAGTCATGTCTGTGCACATTCCCAAGTGCACGTGGTGAAACTGGTTTGTCTGCTGTACCTTCAAACTGTAACTGTAGTTGATCTATCTTCGTACCTTGATCTTCATTTGAAGGAGGAGCATTAGAATCAGAATTATTTTGATCATTGGTGGATGAAGGATGTTGTTCATTGCTTAAAGAAGACTCCACACCATCAACATTCTCAGTAGTAACTGCTTCAATTTCTGTTTCATGCTTCTTTTCAGAGGTTCTTCTATCTAACCTGTTCTCATCTTTTATTTTATCAGATAAAGAATGTACTTCAGACGTTTCTCTTTCAGCTACTACAGTTTCTTTCTGAACCTGCTGTTCCAAATTCACCTCTCTGTCTCCTGTTTTTGTATCTTGTTTACTACCATCAGGATGTTCGACTCGTCCAAGTTCAGAGGGTACAGGGATAGGCACGGCATCTTTCTGGTCTGTCATTTTTGGTGGAACAACAGTGCTGGTGTCTGATGCTGCTTTCTCCTCGTTATGACTGCATGATGCATTGTTTTCAAGTTGCGGCTTGAACTCATCTTCAGCAGCTACATGTTGCTGAGATACAGAGGTCAATTGTGCTGAAGAACTTTCTCCTTCCTTCTCCCAACTTTTGGCCCATAGATATAATTTTGGGTGATCAGATTTCCTGGAGACCATAAATTTTACACATAAAGTATTAGACTTTCATTGCACGGTGTAAGAATAGAACATACCTGTTGTTTGCAGAATTTTTAAATCACTACAACTGTAACACTGGGTATACAAGCTTACAATTTAATAATGAAAAATAAGGGAAATATCTATTTCCTTACATGTCACTGTTGTTTATAAATCTGTGAGAAATTAACTGATAAAGAGTGAATGTAGGAAGCAGAGTTGTGACCGAACATCATGGCCAATAGGTTAGCAGACCTGCTTCATATTCCAGAGGGCCTTGGTTCAATTCCTGGTCTCAAAACAGACTATTTTGACTGAGGTCTTTTTGTGATTTTCTTCATTTTTTGAAGGCAAATGTTATAAGAACATCTAAAATATGCCACATTTATGTCCACAAGTACTGCAGTTCACTTACAACCATCTCACTACTCAACATGACATAACCTGTGCAGATGACAAAGTGAATTCAATATAGTACCTGTAAGACTTAACAACAAACAAAAGTTTTGGATTCTGTTATATAGGTAAGATATTCCATTACACACAGCTGAATCTTGGAAATGTAATCATTATAACAAAATTTGTCTCTATTAAAAATGATTAAAAATGAATAAACAAGCTTGAACACAATAAAGAGTTCTACCTTTGCGGATACTAAGGCCTGTGGTCCATGTGTGCAATATACTGCCATGTATCAAGACCTTTATTTATACGTTAACTGAGTTGGTTTGTGCACAGATGCCTCTCTCCTACACATCCCCTACTTTTTGTAGTGTAAGGCACATTTTTATAACGTGTGAAGTTCCATAATACAGCATTACACTGTGCATCACTCTGCAGCTTATCTTGTTTACAGACCTTCCAATGATATGAAACAATCTAGCTCATTTACATGTCTTTCCCATTTGTCTTTAGCTTTGAAAAAAGGTACTTTTGCTGTTTATCATTTTCTTATTTATTATTCATTTCAGAGAGTTTACCAAATTCTCGCACTTAATCTTTGTTCTCTAGCTTATGACTTCATTGCATCTTAACCCTTTCACACTCAGCCTATTTTCCAAGTACCTGACCTAGAACACTCAGGTGAATGTGGCTCAATTTACAATTCACACTTCAAAAATTCGTTCTTGAATTGCTGGAGCAAAAGTTTTCTGTTCCTCCTAGCAATTCCAGTGATGTAGGTGCTCAGCTGATGAAGATGGCAGACAAGTGGAATAGATACGAAGCAGTCATTGACGAAGACACTATAGCCTTTGTTGAGGTACCCTCCAATCTCAAGCAGTTCTTTCATGATGCTGTACCCCAGGCCATTTTTTTGGAGGTTGTCCTTGCCTTCATGAGACCTGGCCCCTCTGTATGTGAGAGACCCTAGGCAGTAGTTGGACACAGAGTCGCACAACATCCAAAATCTTATTCTTCAATAACAGTGGTGCTTGTTGGGCAAATACTGCATGTCACTGGTTTTGTTTTTGGTACCTAGTAGGCTTTCGTCGAAACTAATTCCTTGATGAGGGGTGTACTGATGCCTGAATACCTTGTTTGCATGGTCCACAAGGGGATGGTACCTTACACAGGGATTGTAGTGTGGTTCTCTAGGGCCTGGCAATTCTTTGTTGTTGACGAGGTTGAAGAAGACAAGCAAGGGGGAAAAATGATGCTTTGTAAACATTTTCCTAAAACATGGGGTGGCTTGAGAACAGAGAGTGGACCAGTATGATGCTGTGGTTGTCTTTTTGATGCCCATATTTAGAATACAGGCAGGAATCCCTTCATCTCATGCATGGTAATTCTTGTCCAGTTTTCCAGTGGAGTAGAAACATTACCCACTTTACTGCTAATCACTTGCTGCACATATCTGTTGGATTCCGTCACCATGAGGGTAAGGATCAAGTCTGTGAAAAAGAGATGGAAGTAAGCAATAGGAGGAGGCACATGCTTAGGTGCAAACAATTCTTGAAATTGGAGATGCAGAAGGAGAGGTTGTCGAGGTGACAGAATTTCCTTGTAGTCTTCATCATTCATGTCATCCTCTTCAATGTCAGACACAGGGTGAGGTGCTGGGGATGTGGCATGTGGGGCATCTTCTTCTTCACTTGTATCATCAGTGTCAGTTTCCAGAATAAAGTTACTATTACTGTCAATTGTAGCTAAATATTCTAACATGTCATAGTCATTTAACCTAGAGCTTGGAGCAGCCATTGTCTAGTTAAAAAAGTAAAATAACTAACTACATATACAATAAACTCTGAAAAATATAATGAAAATATGATAAATAACATACAGCTTTATTATAAAAACAAAATACAACCAATGAACTATGACATATTCACAGTAAAACAACTACGAGTGCAACAACAGACAAAGACAGAAGTGTACCACCAAGTAAACATGTAAGCTCAACATATTTTCTTTAAAAAAATATTTTTGTATGCAAAGGAATGCCATCTGTGTGTAAAACTGTGAAATACACCTTGGAGAATTAGGTATCATCTTGTGTTGCCACCTTTGAGCCGTTTATGTAACTAAAAGAGCACAATTTAGCTGGAGCCAATAGACTGGCTGCCTGAGTGTTCTGGCCATTCCCTGATGCGCTGAGCGTATATAAGGGTTAATGCAATATGTATAGCATCTTCAGACTCATTGTACCGAAGACACTGCCTTTTCTCATTCCTCAGCATAACCTCACAGTTTCCTAGCACCCCAGTTCATTTTCTTTCACACCTAATACAGCTTCTGGCACAGAGAGAAAATGCTATATTTCTAAGAATGTGACATATTGGATGATCCATTTAAAACAATACCTAAAGAGAAAGGACAGTATTTAATATCTAAGTGTACAATTAACGTATCATATTTTTGGTGGTGTAGAGTCAATTTTACCGACCACACAACATATTTTTATTATTAGTACACTACATGTTTCGACCTCAAGAGGTCATCCTCAGGTGTACAAACACAGCTGTATAATTACACGCAATCACATTCGTCTTCTCACAATTAAAGTTTGGTGGTGTAGCCCAGTTCCAAATCAGTTTAGTATATGTATTCTCAGAATAGTGAAATATAAACTGCAGAAAATCCTCGCATATGCCAAGAAACACCCCTGCATCTCCAGAAGATAAACATCTTGTGTATGATGTACCAACACAGAATTATAGTGTCAATGAAGAAACAGGCAATACTGAAACATTAAATCCATAATTATATGGACAAAAACAAAACAAAAAGAAACTCCGTGGTTTTAGTCCGCAAGCGAACTATACTGACTGAGTGACCGCCACTTGTCGGCGAGTCATTGCCAACTTTAGCGGATAGAGGGTGTTGCGTGGTCAGCGCAACGAATCCCCATGACCGTTAATTTCGGTTTCCTAGACCAGAGCTATTATTTCCTTGAAACAGCTCCTCGATTATCCTAATGAGGCTGAATGGACCCTGTTCCAGATCCACTACTTCTCAGAAAAGCTGACAGTGCCGGGAATTGAACTTAGACATCTGGCTCTGTAGCCAGGAAATCTGACCACTAGACCACAGAAACAGTCTACATAATTATACAGTAATGTAAAAATAAAAAGGTAAAGCTATCCCAGCAGCAGGCTGTGGAGGCCCAAAGAGTTAAACGTTGAGGCTCCCATATATTCTAGACAATCATCTCACAGATGGTGGTGAGGTCATCAGCCTTATGTGCTGGCTGCCCTTTACCCCCAGAAAGATTGCTGGTCTCATTTTTGTTAGAGGATGATCCCAAGGCCACGGTGCGAATGGAAGGATTAGGTCAACTGAAAAATCCTATGACCCCATCAGGAATCAAACAAATGACCTTTGACTTGGAACATAGTGCCTCAACCAACTACACTGCTCTGCTCCTTACCAGAACTTCATGGACAAGATAGTTCAATTCAGCACATGGTACTATACAGCCAGGATATCAATGAATATGCTGAAGGAATTTTAACCATACAGCTCCCAAGATGTGACATTCTCTGACTTTTTGTGGAGTTTTCTTAAACAATATATATACTAAAATAAACCAAGAAGCATATATTGAAAGCAAATAATTTAGATGCCATCAGCAGTATCACGGCAAAAACTAATGTAGCACCTTTGAAATACAGCAAGAGAACGGCCCATGTATTTAGCACAATTGAGAACGCTTCCAACATGTTTGTGAACATACATCTGTGTTTTACTATCAGTGAGATATAAAATACATTTTGGCATGGCTTTAAATGGATCAACCTGTACTTTAAAATCAATACTATACTCCCTACAAAAGACATGTTTTGGAATGGTCAGGAACTTGTAATAATTTTTTTTCTTCTGTCCCTAGAAATTATTAGATAGGAACTCACCCTGCGATATTAACTTTTACCCTGAGACTATGAAGAACCTGTTGGATTTGCAGCAAGGATCCTGTCAGATCATGAGATCTCTTTAATATGGCTTCCCTTTCAAGAATATTTGATTCATTCTTTGAACGGAAAGATAAACTGAAACAAAAGAGTATTTCGTTAACTCTTCATAAACTAGTGAAACTGAATATTATGCCATTTAATTCTGAAAAAGTTGTATACACAGTGCACCTGCAGAATAAGATTTTTGAGTTATGGGATTTTATCCTTAGAGAAATTATAAAACATGGCCATAAAATTCATGATATTGACCTCAAATTCGTTCTTATGAAAGTCTGGAGTAAATATTAACTTCTTAACACATAATGTATAATAAAAAATTCATCCTGAACTAATTTTCTATTAAAAATGATTTGCTAAGAAATTCAAAATATATACAAAGGGGGACCCAAAAATAACCAGAAACGACCTGTTGTGCGCGCATGCCTTGTAGTTACGAGTTGTGCTGCTAGGTGGTCTTAGCTGGGGGTCTCCCGCGACTGTTAGTGAGCTGGCGTCAGTCTGAGTTAAGTGGTTTGTCTGTGGTGCTCTGTTGTGTGTGTTCCTGTTTCAACCCTTTGGCGATTAGTGAGATGGCCAACCAGAAGGAACAAACAGTGTGTGTGAAATTGATGAAGATCGTCGAAAGACAATTGACCAACTTTCTGAGGAAACGAACATCTCATGGAGCACGGTCCAGCGAATTTTAACCGAAGGTTTGCACATGAGACGGGTGTCTGCAAAATTTGTTCCTCACTTGCTCGGAGATGACCAAAGAGAAAACCGCGTGAATGTTTGCCGCGACTTGAAGAGTGAAGTGCAGTTTTCCCTAACAGAAAGCAAAATTTCACGCACACTCTTTGTTCCTTCTGGTCGGCCATCTCACTAATCGCCAAAGGGTTGAAACAGGAACGCACACAACAGAGCACCACAGACAAACCACTTAACTCAGACTGACGCCAGCATACTAACAGTCGCGGGAGACCCCCAGCTAACACCACCTAGCAGCACAACTCGTAACTACAAAGCATGCGCACGCAACAGGTCGTTTCCGGTTATTTTTGGGTCCCCCCCTCGTATATGTATGCTTCAGCATGTAGCAGGCTACATCAATCACATAAGGGAGATTTCTGTTAGTACAGTTGCTATTCCCATCTTATTTTAGATTGTGCAATGTATTAACCTCATTTTAAAATGTCTGAAAACAGATCAACAAGTTCAAGCACAAGAAAAGAATTATGTGTGATGTGCAAATTGATAAAGTGTGTGTTTATTACAATTATGGACTGAAAATAATTAAACTATCTCAAATTGACCAATGGAAAAACATGGTTGCCTTCTGGAATTTCATATTATGGACATGTTTTCTAGGACACATGCAATCCTTAACATAGGGGCAAGCTGTATTTGCAAATCTGCCTCCAATGAAATATCACATACACATAAGGAATCTGGTGTTAGTTTAACCATCCTTACAAAAACAAAGCAACTAAGATAAAAATATATTTTCTAATTATTCATATTCATTATTTGGTATATTTTGAAGACATACCTTGGCAGTTTCCCTTCTTTAAGCCAATCCTGATCATGCAAATATTTCTTTGACTTGCGCTGGCGATATGGATTTAAGCAAATAGGGCACACATATTTTTCTGGTACTTCTGTTTCCTTTTCAATATTATTACATATTCCATGCTGCCAGCATAAACATAGGTCACACTGAAAATGAAATACGACGACAGCTGAGAGTGAAGGTCTTTAAAAATATTCTGCCACATCAACATGTCTGACCATATTTTTGTTTGTTCAACAACTGAAGTTCAAAGTGCTTAAAAAGTCACAAGAAAGAATATCTGGCCAAAGCGAGTGAATTTACTAGTGACAGGAGGAAAACATATTGAACTGTAAAATCCACACTCATTCAGCAATGCAATGCAGATTATTCTCATTACATGATACATAACATGATGTAGAAATTCACAGAAAAAAAGCATAGCTCATATATCAATAGGTACCTAGGAGAAAGAACATGTTCATTAAAACTTTTATTAGATTATATTTATGGCCCTAAATTAGTCATTCTATAATAAGATGAGACAGTGGTGCAAACAGGACTGTTGAAACAAGGAGTTTCATTACAGCAGAATATGTAAGTTCTTACCATGAATCAGCTAACGCTTAGTATAGTACATAGTAAAAATAGCGGTATAATTATTTTTTCTAGTAGAGCCAAGATAGCGCAATCAGTATGGTGACTGGCTACAGGCCGGACAACCCGCAGTTCAAGTCCTGGTGAGGGCAAGAATTTTCACTTCTCCATGTCATCCAGACCGGCTCTGGGGCTCACCCAGCCTCCTATCCAATGGTACCAGTGGCTCTTTTCCTGGGGGTAAAGTGGCCAGTGCATGAAGCTGACCACTCACCTCCAACCAATGCTGAGGTCAAGAAAATGTGGGTCTATACATCCACTCCCCCATATGCCTTCATGGAGCTTAATTAGTTAAGCATGGGGACAACTTTACCTTTTTTTAGCATTAATGAATTTGCAGATGCTGTTCTTGCAATGTTTATTATGCATTTCTCTCTTTAGTAACAGCAGCACTGAGGTCTGTAAACTTACTCCACAAAAAAGCAAATTTGCAAACTCATCTGCCTTCAGTCATATACAGCATTATCACAATGTAATGAACGTAAACGTATTTATTTCTTTATTTCTTCATTCCCGGTCTGTCCAAGTTGGGTAGGTCTGTCACCACGGCAAGGCAGGTCCTCAGGCTCTGAATGTAGGGGGACAGCCTCCACATATGGAGGGTACAGAAAAGGTGAAGTTATTCCTGTGCTTAATCGGTTAATCACTATGCCACAAAGACATATGGGGGAGTGGAGGTATAGCTCCACCTTTCTTAACCTTGGCACTATTTGGAGGAGAGTGGTCAGTTTCATGCTCCTGCCACTTTGCCGCCAGGGAAAGAGCCCCTAGTACCCACTGTTGGATAGGAAGCTGGGTGGGCCCCAGAGTCAGTCTTGGACCTGTGGAGAAGAGAAAAACCTTGGACTGCAGGGAATCAAACCTGGGCTTACACCCTGTAGCCAACTGCTATACTGACTCAGCTAACCTGACTCTGGTATAGTGGGTAGCTATACAAATAAGTAGTCACAGACAGACTACAAGGGGTGGCCCTCAAACTTGTGTGTTGGGTGTGGGGCTAACAAGGCCTCATTGTAAAAAATAAGTTTGTTCCAAATTGTCACAAAGGGCCTCAGACTGGGTCAGACTGTTTGGATAAATGACCTATGCTATGAAAAATAACTTGAGAATATAGCAAATGAGAAGTTTCCAGCAGCTGACAAGGGGTGGTTCTCCAGCTTGGTGGTTGGGCATGAGGCTAACAACTCTTCACTGTAAAAAATAAGCTTGTTATGAAATATCACAAAGGGCCCAGCACTTGTACGGACTCTTTGGGTAGACAACCTAAGGTATGGAAATGGATATGAAATTTCTTATGTGGAATAAAAAGTCTGTATAGTGTAGGTTTGCTCATAACACTTGTGAAAGAAATATCTAAATACAAGTTAGATTTAGAGGGAGTGCAGGAGGTGCCACCACCAGCAGGTGAATATGCGTTTTTCTATGGAAAGGGAATGAGAATTATGAATTAGGAACAGATTTTTTCCGTACATAACAGAATCATATCAGCAGATAAGAGGACAGAGTTTGTTAGTGATAAGATGTTGCACATAATACTAAGAGTTCGTTGGTGACATCATTGTTCTGAATATGAGGTCTGACAGTAAATTTCGCGAACTCACCACGATGTGCTTGCCATGGCAGCAGTGACTTCAGTATGGTTTGATGATGTTGGCATATCAGAGTTTCACAGCTGTGTTGTTGTTGATCTTTTGCAGCCTCTTTCTGAATGGCGTCTATTATTGTCTGAGAGTGTATTGGTGTGCTATCATGAGACTGTCAGAGTTTGAATTAGAGCACCCTCTGTGAGGGAGTTTTTAACTAGTAAACAAATAACTGTGCAGGAACACCCTCCCTATTCACCAGATCTAGCCCATATTAACTTTTCTGTTCCTGAAGATAAAGGAAATATTGAAAGGAAGGCATTTTGATGACACTGATGACATCAGAAGTAATATGATGGCAGCTCTGAAGGCCATTCCACAAAACCAGTTCCAAAATTGTTCCGAAGGGTGGACTTGGAACTGGCATTGATGCATAGCTTCCCAAGGGGAGTACTTGAAGTTGATCACATGATATTCAGCAACGAGGTATGTAGCACTTTTACCGCAATGAGTTCGCGAACTGCTTCTCTCACTTACTGAATGTACATAGGGTCAGTGATTTTGGGCAGATACAAATAAATACAGCTGAGAAAGTATAAATCATCAGGTAGTGGTCAACTTCCGGCAGAACTGATTCTAACAGGAAGTGAAACATTAGTCTGAGATCCGTAACTCATTAATTCTATTTGGAATAAGGCAGAAGTGCCTGATCAGTGGAAGGAGTTTATTTCTGTGCCAGTTGCAAGAAGGGAGACACAACTGACTAGAAATTATGAAGGTAAATCACTGTTATCAACTTCATACAAGATTTTATACAATATTTTTCTATCAAAGTTAAGTCCATATATAAGCAAAAATACTGGGAATCACCAGTGTGGGTTTTGCCAGAACAGATCAACTACTGATTAGATTTTTTTCACATTCATCAGATACTGGAGAAAAAATGGGAGTACCATGAGACAGTACATCACTTAATCATGGACTTCAAGAAAGACTATGATTCATTTAGGATTGAAGTATTGTACATTATTCTCATAGAGTTCGGTGTACCTGTGAAACTACTTAGGTTGATTAAAAGTAAAGTCCATAGAGGTAAACATTTGTATGATATCTTCCCTATCCAGAATGGTCTAAAACAAGGAGACACTTTATTACCACTCCTTTAAAACTTTAAGGTCCAGGAAAACCAGGTGGGACTGAAATTAAAATGTGACAAATAAGCTGCTGGTCTAGGTGATGTTGTAATTCTAAGAGACACTGTAATTGACACTACTAAGGAGGCTGGTCTAGAAGTAACTGCACAGAAAACTACATATATGTTGATGTCTTGTCACCAGAATACAGAGCAAAATCATAACACAGACAGGTGATAGAACATTTGAAAATGTGGCACAGTTCAAATATTTGAGAACAACATTAACAAATCAAAATATGATTCATGAGGAAATTAAGAGCAGGTTGAATCTGAGTAATGCTTGCTATCATTCAGTCCAGAACCTTCTGTCTTCTCATCTGCTGTCTAAAAATGTAAAAATTATCCCACAAACATATAATTTTTCCTGTGGTTTCGTATGGGTTTGAAACTTGGTCTCTAACATTAAGGGAGGAACACAGACTGAGGGTGTTTGAGAACAGGGTATTGAGGTGAATATTTGAACCAAAGAAGGATGAGGTGACAGGAGGCTGGGGAAAACTGCAAAATGAGGAACTACATTAACTTGTACTCTTTGTGAAGTATAATCAGAACGATTAAGTCAGGGAGGATGAGATAGGCAGGGAATATAGCATACACACAGAGAAGAGGAATGGATATAGAATTTTTGTGGGAAAGCCACAAGGAAAAGGACCACTACAAAGACACAGACGTAGGTGGGACAACAATATTAAATTGGATCTTAGAGAGAGAGAGAATGGGGTGGTGTGGACTGAATTGATCTGGCTCGGGATAGGACCTAGTGGAGGGCTCTTGTTAACATGGTAATGAACCTTCGAGTTCCATAAAATGTTGGGGAATTCTTGAGTGGTCGCTCAAGTGGCAGCTTCTCAAGAAGGGCTGACTTCCATGGAGTGAGTTAATTATTCTTGGTCTGTTTATTGATGCTTTCAATGGCTCTGATTAAGTACTGTCTTATCAGAAATTTGCATACTGTATAGTTTATAATACAGATCCAGACTTGAAAACTTTTTTCATCTTTTATGCATATATATTAATTGGTTCTGTTTCACTGTTACACAATATTAGTTGGATTACTGTGAAGACACAGTGTGCTAACCCTAACAGCAATAGGATGAGCCATCAATCTGACAGGCTGATATATGCATTAGCAATGCATCATCATTCATTACATCAAACCTGATGGGGACACAAGAGATCCCTAAAATGTTGGCATTTAAGTCAACACCAACATGGCTGATCACCCGAGAAGTTTTAAGTACATTTATTCACTGCAAAAATTTCAAATCTTACATAGGATATAGCATATGTGATATAACCTGATCATGACCAATCAATGGTCAAAACATAAAGTGATAAAAGAGATTTTACTATAAAGACATATTTTATTTAATTTGTAATGATGGTTCTTGATTATTAGTTCATTAACTGAACACACAGCAGACTGAATCACTGTCCAATTAATTTTTTAGCTTCTTATCCAATGGGAAGAGAGCTCAAATCCCCAAAGTGTCATAACAGGAAAGTTTTCTTCTTCATAAATACATGTTTGGCATCTTACCAAATCACAATGTTGCTCAATTCTCCAATATTTTCATAACCAGTTTTCTTTTTCGGTAAAACTGTAAATTTTCTGGCTTATCAACCCAGAGTGTGCTTCATGTTCCCTCAGATTTTCATAACAAGCAGTTTTCTTCTTCATGACAATTGTGAACTTCTTGGACATCTTATTTCACTGCAATGCAGCTCAAATCCATAACAGATACTGACACTGACATTTACGCTAACACTTTTATTACAATACATTACCTGAATCATGAGTCCATCCTCCTCCATAAAACCGCATGTGCAGTTAATCAGTTCCTCCTTCCGTAAATGATCCACTGCAGGCTGTTCTGCTGCTGCAAATTAAGAACATGCAAGTATTATGACATTCTCCAAAAAATATTTCAATCTGAAATTTTCACAGGGTGAGGGAGCTAGAACTAAATTCATATGAAGAATTTAACAATCACAATACATGACTTTTAGTAGAGCAAATACAAATACAAAAGATTTTGTACCAACAGCTCATTCTTAACATGTGTTTTACATGTACAGATTTGTAAATCATCACTTGTATAAAAATAATTCATAACAGAGACATAATATACAATCTATAATTTTTTGTGATCCCTAATTAGAAAGGTCTGAAACAAGGAGAAAGTTTAGAGACATGCTTTTTAAATTTCAATTGGAATACATAATTAAGAAAACCTAAGAAAGTCAGTGGGAGACTGAACCTGAAAGGAATATATCAGCTGCTTGTCTATGCTGATAACAATTTACTGGGCAACACTGTACATACTATAAGAAAAAACACAGAGGTTTCATTAAACATTAGTGACGAGGTTGGATGGATCTCTCAGAAAGTGCTCTGTGCAGAAAATGTGAGTAGGAGTAGCAGTCCCATGCCATATGCTTTATCAATGTCCAGCTTTGACCAGGCACAGATTAGAGACCTTCACTTGTTTTGCTAGAGCTAACAGATGTCACGACAGCCTCAATAAGGGTAGTTTCTGACTCTAACATTACAATCAGGGATCTCTGTTGAAAGGTCCTAACAAGTTCTGGAAGGATAATGGACCCAGTAATGATCTCAGTGTCTGGGACAACTGGATAATTATCCCCCCCTCCAAGTCAATACAGAATACATGTGGACTAAAAGCACATGCATATTCCTGTCCAGTCACCAGAATCCAAGACAAAATAATAATACAAAAACAACCTCTGAATAGATAGAGACGTTCAAATATATGCGAATGACAGTGGCAGATCAAAATTATATTCATGACAAATTTAAGGGCAATTAAATCAGGGAAATATTTCTCACTATTCAGCTCAGAAAATTTTAACTTCCCACCTCATATCTAAAATTCTAATATACAAAACTAAAGTTTCACCTTTCACAGTTCTTCTTCTTCTAAGTTATGACACTGTGCAGGAAACGGTTTGTGACATTTTCTAGGAATATACCGCCTCAACCTTCAGGGTAAAAGTGACAACAATGAATGAGAGAAGCCTTATACGGAATATGGCTGCCAGGTGTCAGTTGCATGGAGAACAGGAATGGCAGAAAGGAACAGAAACCTAGGAATGAAGAAACACAGTCAGCCTCTTCCTCTAAAATACTGGAAACCTTTCCCACTACTACACAGTGTCACAGCCCAGAAGAAAGCTGAAAGCTGTACATGAACCACTGTGAAAACCTGAACTCTTATATAATGTTACTGTTGTTTTACACAGGTGTTCAGCTTGGTCTCTCACCCGTAAGGGAAGAACTTCGGTTGGGGGTGGCAACAAGGTGATGAGAATATTTATTCCTACAGGTGAAGAAGTAACAGGAGGATGAAGAAAATTACACAATGAGGAGCTTAATAATTTTACCCTCCCTCCAAATAAATTATTAGGCTGGCAGTAATGGATTTTGAGGTGCTTTAATGGCAAGGCTATTTGAACCCAGTTATCAGGGAAATCAAGTGATGGAGAAGAAGATGGGCAAGGCAGGTATAGTGCGGTCACATTTATGTGAGGATGCGTTCTTGAAGACCTCACATATTTCTAAACTTGCATAATTCAAGAAAAGTTTTCTCATAAGAATACATGAACTGTTAATTTTTCTTTTTTGGAATTCACATTATTTCAAAGTTCAATATTTTCATATTGCATTACTTCAAATTTGCACAAAAACTAATCACCCTGTAACATGCATTTTACAAAATTTTAGCCAGAAAATGTGAAGAGAAGAAACCACTTGGAACATACAGGTGTGGATGAGTGGAGAATATTAAAATTAATCTTAAAATAATAGGTTATGGGGTTGTGGACTGGATTCATCTGTTTCTGAAGAGGGTCTAGGTGTGGCCTCTTGTGGACATCAAACTGAAACTTCAGTTGGAATTAAATTAGTAATTTCTTAAACAGCTGAGCTACAGTCAGTATCTCAAGAAGGACTCTGTACCATGGTATTCATTACAGCTGTACTGTTTTCTTCCAAAGTGAAAAACCGAGCAAATACCTAAAGTATACCTTGGTATATGGAGACATGGCTCTTGTTCTTACATGTTACTAAGAGTGATTCACTGTAATTTCATTTTAGAGGCTGTAACACAAAAATGGATGAATGCAACAAACGCCCAGTAATTTATTATTATGCCTATATTTAATAAATTCACAATCATCATGAATTAAAGCGCAGAGACGACAATTTTGCTGGCTCTTGATTTAAATCACACTTCACTGTGAATATTTTCAACAATATACACATCTAACAGAACTTGAGATTAATGGAATTAATGTAATTACGAATTACATGCCTATCTTGCTCCTCCCAACTTTTTCCAAAATTATCGAAAAAATCATTTACAAAAGATTATACTTCCATATAAATAAGCACAATATATTGGTCACTGAACAATTTGGATTTAGAGAAAAATCATCTACTGAAATGGCAACACACATTCTTTTAAATAATATACTGTCTTCTTTAGACAAAAAGAATTATGTTGGTGGTTTATTCTGTGACCTACAAAAGGCGTTTGACTGCGTTAACCACAACATATTCCTGGCAAAAATGGAATTCTATGGAATCTCGGGCATGGTAAATAAGTTAATGAGATCATACTTACAAAATAGATATCAGAGAGTATCAATGAAAGGTACCGAACTTAATAAAGTGTCTTCAAAATGGGAACTAGTTAAATATGGAGTTCCACAAGGCTCTATATTGGGGCCATTATTGTTCCTCATTTACATAAATGATTTCCCATTATCCATTAAGAAAATAGGTAATCCTATATTATTTGCTGCTGATACAAGTATTATCATATCAAACATGAATCCTGAAGAAGTTAAAAATAATATCAAATTAGTTCTGAACAAAACAATTATGTGGTTTAATAGTAACTTTCTAACATTAAATTGTGATAAATCACACCTTATACAATTCTTTCTAAAAAAGCACAGGAAATAGAACTGCAAATAATATCTACTAATTCAATTATTACAAATATCAATTCTACTAAATTCTTGGGAATAAATGTTGACAGTATCTTATCTTGGAAGAACCATGTTAGGGATTTATCATTAAGGTTAAATAAGGCTTGTTATGCAATAAGGGCAGTAAAGCCGTTTATGCCAATTGAATCAATGAGGATGATCTATTATTCCCATGTACATTCCTTATTGTCATATGGTATTTGCTTCATAGACTGGCAGAAGGCATTTGACCGTGTAAACTGGACCAAATTAAAGCAGATCCTAAAGGAAATAGGTATCGATTAGCGTGAAAGAAGATTGATCAGAAAATTGTACATGGATCAGAAAGTTAGGGTACGACTGGACAGAGGGGAGACAAGAAGTGTGCAGATTGGAAGAGGAGTTCGACAAGGATGCTGTTTATCACCAATTCTGTTCAACTTGTACAGCAAATGCCTTATCAAAAGCTCTGGATGGGCTTGGAGACTTCAAAATAGGAGGGCAAATTATTCAAACTGTGAAATATGCAGATGACCTTGTGTTAATGGCTAAGGAAGAAACTGTGCTACAGGGCATGATTGATAAGACTAATTGAAATTGGAAGGTGCTATGGCATGGAAATGAATGTGGAGAAAACAAAAGTAATGAAAATTTCGAGACAACCAACCCCAGTCACAATAAAGATAGACCAAAAACAACTGTAGAATGTGAAATGTTTTAAATATTTGGGTAGCTTGTTAACAGATGATGGAAGGTGTACTTGTGAAATTAAATCCAGGATTGCCATGGCAAAAGCTGCATTTAGCAAGAAGAAGAATCTTTTTACCAGCAAATTGGACTTAAATTTGAGGAAGAAACTAGTGAAATGCTACATTTGGAGCATAGCTCTGTATGGGGCTGAAACATGGACACTTAGGGCAGTAGATCAGAAACATCTGGAAAGTTTCAAAATGTGTTCGAGAAGGATGGAGAAGATCAGTTGGACCGATTATGTGAGAAATGAAGAAGTGTTAATTAAAGTCAGTGAGCAGAGGAATATCCTACACAAAATAAGAAAACGGAAGGCTAATTGGATTGGTCATGTTTTACGCAGAAACTGCCTTCTAAAAGAAGTTATTGAAGGAAAGACAGAGGGGCGGATAGAAGTGACAAGATGACGAGGAAGAAGACGTAAGAAGATGCTGGATGACCTTGGGGACAGAAGAGGATACTGTCATTTGAAGGAGAAATCTCTAGATCGCATTAAGTGGAGGAATTGTTTTGGAAGACTGTGGACCTGTCGTCTGACAGAGTACTGATGATGATGATGATGATGACGATGGTATTATCTTTTGGGGTAATGCCCCTCATAGTGAGAGTATCTTAAAAATTCAAAAAAGAATAAGAGTTATATCTGGTACGGGTAGACTGGGTTCATGCCGTGGATTGTTTAAAAAATTACAAATATTGCCACTTCAGTCTCAGTACATTTTCCCTTACTTCTTTTTGTCGTTAAGAACAGAAATTATTTTATAGCTAATACTGATATTCATGATTATCAACACATGTTATAATCACAATTTATATTTACCTTCTACAAATCTATCAATAGGTCAAAAAGGAGTACTTTTCTCAGATAGCAAGATTTATAATCATTTAGCCTCGAACATTAAATTGCTATCCAAAGATATTAAAGAATTCAAATTTGTATTAAAAAGCTATCTCACTGAACATGCTTTTTATAGTATTGATGAATATTATAAATCAACTTCTCAATGAACACTTTGTTTTGATTGTCTCTCCTACGGATAATATTGTGACATGTCTAACCGTTGCTGGGCAACAGGACGTGGAACAAGTTACCACGAAGACAGACCCTTGATAAACTGTCGGTTGCCAAGTTATGCAACAGTGGAAACAAGGTTATGCAACAGTAAGAAAAGCGGTGTTTGCCTGAGCCGAAGCGTGCTGGTTGCTATGCAGTTGCCCAGCAACTCCTTTGTAAATAAGGCGTCACGCAACAGGGGAGCCCGTGCAGCGACGGTTGGTAGGCAATCGGTAAACATGATGTCACACAACAGTGAAAGCTATCACTTAACTGTTTTCTGTGTTGTCCGTGCCGAGGCTAAATAAGAAGCAGTGAACACTATTCAGTAGTAGGGAGTGATCAGTTAGCGAGCCGTGTTGTATCGATTGCATGGCAGTAACAACAGGAGAAATATTTGTGATACTTCCAATGGCAGTAATTGAGACTGTAAGAGCGAGTGGAATAAATTTGCTATATTCAATACAGCGTGAAGTTATATGTCGCGTTATACACCCAACACGCAACAATATAATTACACAGCTTATGTATCTATTACAACTGTATCAGCGTTTGTATTATTGTATAGGATTTCACTAATTTATAGTGGTTCTTAGTGTTTTCATTTGTCCTTGTATGTGTTAGGAATGTATATTTTATTATCTTATGTTTAAACATGACAGATTCTATATCCAATAGGTTGGTTTGATCTTATATGGATTGATAGAATGCAATAAAACAAATAAAAAATGGAACAAAAACTCATTTGGAGTAGAAGTTCTAAAACAAGTTGTGTGGTTTGCCCCTAAAAGCTTATTATAATGTTAATACTAAACCTTCCTACATTCAGTATTGCAAGAAACAGAAGTTTGCATAACACCAAAACCAGAATCAGAACCTAGCAAAGCTAGGTAGCAGAAGATAATGAAGTAACCAAGTTTCTCTCTCTCCCAAAAATCTTAAGATTAGAAAAAATGAACCAAATCTGTCACATGTTAAAACATAGCATATGGACCTCGAGGGGGGGTTGGGCTCCTATGTTGATTTGCACCTACATCTATAAAATTACATTCTAGTCCAATACAGGAAGGAAGCTAACAATTCTTAAATTCAATCCAATTAAATTCTTCTAAACTGAAGATGAAAGCAACAGGTTTATCCAAAATGTTGGTACAACTACCAAAGTACATGACAATATATCCCAGAAGGCAGTAAATGTCATTATGTTGGGTTTGAAGTTCTCATAGCTGTGGTTATGAAAAGTTCCATCTTCTGGGATACAACACTGTGTAGTCCAATAGAAGTCTCAACCGACATATCAGGGAAGCATGTCACCCCATCTCCAGAGTTGAAGAATAAGACAAGCAAGAAACCAGTGTGAAAGCAGGTGACTTGCTCCTCTGAAATGCTGGCTGACACTTGACAGGCTACACAGCATTCTACTCAAAAAGATGTAAGTCTCAACAATCTTCACTGTTACCACTATAATCACAAATTTCGCAAAATGAAACTGACATGATAGCTTGTCACATGTCAAAATACATAGTTCCAAAGGAGTTAACATTTTCTTCATAATGGCTGACAGAATATTACAAGGTGAAATGCGAGGACTGACTTCACACTGTGCTACGATAATAATTACCTCTGATGATAAAGCACAACTAATTTCAAGGGATCAGTAATCTGAGGGGGCAACTGGCTTTCTTTGGAGAAGCAATATTGTATTTTTCACAATTTCCTATAAAACTAATTAAATACATGAAACAGAATCCTCCTTCAGGAGCTACAGTCATTCAGCTGGTCAGGAAATTCCCCGCCTCTTATGGAATCTACAGGTTCATTACCATGTTTTCATGACTTCCATCACTGATGCCTATCCAAAGCAAGATGAATTCAGTCCACATGCCATTCTAGTAATATCCATTTTAATAGTCTCTACTCGTTTACACCAAGGTCTTCCGAACGGTCTCTTCCCATTAAATTTTCCAAATAAAATTCTATGTCCAGTTGATACGGTGTTATGTACTGACTTAAATCAATTATTATATTTATATTTTAGCATCCTGTCTCCCCAAAAGAAGGGAAATCACCTGATGATGGCTCACGTGGCTGAAACATGTCAAAAATTAGAACAGACATATGACTAAATACATTTTAGAAAATTGGATAGTCACTTTTAATGTATAGAATGTGCTTTTAATGCCCTACTGACATGCAATGATTTTAACAACATCAAGAAGTGTTAAAATATATTTTTAGAGTGAAACATATTCCTAATGTCTTTTAAATTGTTGCATTATTGACGGATACTCTGATAATAATGGATGATAATAAAGGTTAAAATAATTAGTTTTACCCATTCCTGGCCTGTCAGCACTGTGACAAGTAATATGGCATTAACACTTCTAATAAACAAGTAGAATAGAATGAACTTTTGCGTAAAGGAATATAAACTAAATAAAACTTGGAAAGAGTAAATAAAACAATAAGGCAGTATGATACCTGGAGTTTCAAGCAACTTGCATTCTCGTTGGTCCTGGACGGAGGGAGACAAAATGATGCGACCTACACCCATTGGGGTGAATGAGACAAAGAAAGACACATAGCCATGTTTCAAAACCAAAAGCATGCAGCAGAGTTTTTTAGTTGCTGTCACACCTGACAATGCTTTATATTTCACAACTACCTCCGAAGTCTTATAAAAATAACTTTACTATTCCCAAGTCTTATAAAATTTCCATATAATAACCCTCTATGGTTAAGTAGGAGGATCAAAATCCTTTCTCGCAAGCGAAACATAAAAAAATTATACTGATTAAATCTCATTTGGTATAAGGCAATCCATTCAAACCAAATTTATTATCTTAATTCATTCACAACCTTGTGATTCTCCAGTGTCTTTTCATATGTAATGGCTTCAGAACATGGCTGCTTACCATTTCCTCATAAATAACATCAAATATAACAAGTACATTAGTCTTTCACTAGTTTGAGAACAAGTATCTCCCTTTAGATAATTATGCCAAGCAATATGTTACCTCACATGCATAAGAAAAGAGACACTATACCTTTCTATGAGACTACATGGCATCACATTCCAAAAGACAGCACTCTTCATATTTCAAACATCTCACAAACTGCAACATCCTGCTCCTTCAATAACATTAAATTACAAAAGAGAAAGATAAGAGCACTGAAATGTCAACATTATGTGACCATTCTGCTCCTACCACTAAAGATGATAAATGAAAGCAAATTAAAATGGTCCAATGATCTCAGACTAAACCATTCCATAACGTTCAGTTGAAAGAGAAATTCTGTTCAGAAATATATGAACCGTAATTCTTCAAATCAGAGCAACATGTAAGTTCACTGCAATATACATACAGCATATTATTTCTATAAATAAGAAAATCCAGGGTCCTGGCAAGATATGACACAAATATTTTTAATGAAAAGCAAGGGAAAATCACTGTTATGTCCCTAAGCCACAACGGGGAACTGAAACCCCAGGAGCACAAAAGTACCTTGGTGGAGTTGTCAAAATACAGAAGAAACACAAATGTAGGACTGACTTGCCTAACAGATGGCAAATCAGAACTGTACAATACTGAAACTGCAGTGACTGTAACTACATCAATGTCAAACTGCTGATGGGTTGAAGTCAGCTGTTTTACACCCTAAATTAGGAATACATGTGAGACATGCAATATGCCAAGTTAAGTGGTCTCACATACTACTGTAGAGTGTAGACCAGCTGCTGGGTAACAGTCACAAAACAATGCCCATTGTTGGGGCACCAAATTCTTAATAAACAGTGAAATGCAACCTGTTTCCAGGCAAGAGCTTGGTAAACATATTCCCATGGCAACAAATAAGGATGCAAGAATAGAAAAAACAATGTGATACAACCCGCTGCTTCATGATGCAAACACCTTCCCACAGAAACAGCATACAGGAGTGAATGGTGTTTTCTACGTGGTCCGTACCAAAGAGTTATCTTGAAGACAACTGGGGCGATGAGTTGAGTTGAGCTGAGTTCAACAAGGGAGGCTGAGAAGGCACTATAATTAAGTGGAATTACAAGTTGTGGAATGTTAATCAGTGGGCAAAGGGATTAGCACAGAAGCTGAATAACCTCCATTGTTGAGTGCTATTATCAAGCAATGACTAATGAAGACCCTGCAAGCTAGAGAAGACTTATTTGTAAAGTGTGGAAACCAGTGATAGCACTGTAATTACTTGTAGTTCAAAGTGGTTTGTATATGTGGTCAGTAAATCCTTTCACCAAACCATACCCTGTCTACAGTCACAACCCTAAACACGTGACAATTTAAACAATAGTGTCCAAAGGTCCCAACCTGGGATGAAGAGGATGAAGTTAATCAATTTCAGGAAATTTCAGAACTATATATATAAATAGTGTATGATTATAATAACGTAAACAGACAACTACCAGTGTCACGAGCTTATTCCATAAAAATCCCAACCCAAATAGATCACAGTTAGACTCTGTGGTGGCAGCTGCCACTAAGGATACATTAAATTAAGTGTAGACCTCTCCTCAATCCTCAGTCCTTGAACCCAAGATTCTTCAGCAGAAATCAAGAGCCCATTCTGATCCTTTTGAGAAGCCAGCAAGCTAACGGGGTGGAGCACAGTGCAAGATAGTGTGACGTATTTGCGCTATGCAGGATGACCCCTCCCCCGTAGCAGCGGCAGCGCTGTTATGCCACTGCTGGCGGGGGAGGGGGCGTCCTGCATAGCGCAAATACGTCACAATAGGTTTAGCAAGGGAAACTAGGGAGACCATTCAGCTCTACAATGGAGGTAGCTTGGGTGCAGGCTAGCCTGTGGTAACTCCATTCCCCTGCCACACCACTGCTGTCAGCACTATTTTCTGTGGCCCCATCATGGCAGAACATTCATAGTACAGGAAGTACTCTTAGTATGTGGACCAGGTCCACAGCTCTGTGCTTCACAGCAGCTTGTGGGCCACTTGCCGCAAGGTGCTTATGAATTTTGCCAATAAATCAGCATGCCTTCCAGCTGATAATGTTTGGAATGAAGGGAAGTAATTAACTTGTGGACTGCTTGACAGTATTATGTTACACAGTAAGCAGTGTGTGAGTTTGTTTATGACTTGTCAGCAGTAGGCAGCAGTTATCAGCTCCACTAGCTATTTGTTCTCAGCTATTGTTAGTGAGCAGTGTGATACATTATGGTGTAGTACACTTCAGAGCAACACGTGTTCTGTACGAGTATGTCACCTACGTGAAATATGGATCTGCTAGAAAGTGTTGGCGAAAATTTCGAGATAAATTTCATGATAAGAGTTCCCAGCATACAAACAATTTATAATGTGGTGAATAAACTTAGAACAACAGAACTCTTAATATACAAGAAACAAAAACAAGTGTTGAGTGCTTACTGAGAAGTTAAAATGCCATAGGGGCCAGACTTTAACATACACCTAGAAAATCACTGAAACATCTAGCTCAGAGAGACTGGAGTGTCAAAGTCTAGTGCAAGAACGGCAACACAACTGCTGAAGCCATCCAGTGAAAGTTGGTGCGTGGTGTGGTTTCAGTGCAAGGATTGTTGTACCTGATTTTTAATGAAACAATTAATTTCAAAAAATATCTATGTGTAAAGAGGACAGCATCTTCAAAACCTCCTGTGATCTGTGAATTGTAACTACTTCATTCTGAACATTATTAGCCATCAGGCATGCTGATTCATCGACATTCGTAAGCACCTCGTAGCAAGCGGTGCACTGGCCACCATGAAGCACAGAGCCACATACCTGGTCCATATACTAAAAATCCTCCTGTATAAAGAGCTAAAAAATTCTTTAAAGAATGTAGCTAAGTTCAAATATTTATGAACAACAGTGCCAAATCAGTATCATATTGAAACATGTAGTACCACTTTGTAATGATCGTAAGAAGGATAACGCATTGCTTGGCAAAGGCTGGTAAACACGTCAACAAGACCCAAGCTACTGCTAGGCAACTGCCCATAAAAACAGAGGAATTGTTGGCAGCAGTGTTTTCTGTTGGGTCTGCCCCTAGGCTAAATAGTGAGGACCCCAGGCCGGCTGAGGCAGTTCAGTTGAAATTCAGCCTGTGAAGAGAAGAACAGAAGGTTGATGTGAAATGGCCGCCAGCCTGGGACCCAGTTAGTCGTCAGTTGTCAGTTGAGAGTTGAGTTCTGCTAGGGAGGCTGTGAAGATTGGACCTGAGTGCAGAAAGCTGAAGGATCTCCATTGTTAGAAGCCGTTGCTAGGAATGGCTGTTGAAGACACAGCAGGCTGAAAAAAGGCTTAGTGGGTGTTGTGAGGATCTGTGAATTGTGGAGATTTAACAGTGGCACTGTAATTACTTGTAGTTCCAAGTGTGTATACAAGTGGTCAATAAATCCAATATCCAGTCCATACCCCATCTATAGTCAGACCCCCAAATCATAAGAATATTCATAGGAAAGCTATTATAGTACGAAAACACTTGCTACCATTCTTTTTGGAATATTTTATGTCCCTATTTTGTATTCATAAAGAAGTTACAAGCACATTAAATCTGGAGAATATCTGCTACCATTTGGTTTAGAATCTTTTATCTTCCTACTTCCTATTCATGAAGAAGCTAAGATCAGATTAAATTTGAGAAATGCTTCCAGAATCTCATCTCGTGGCATCCTATCTAAAACCCTAAACATTAAAACATATTAAAATACAATCTGACAACTTGTTTCACATAAATGTGAAACACTGTCACCCTAAAAGAAAAACACAAATTGAGTGCACTCGAAAGCAAAGAGCTGAGGAGACTATGTGGACATATGAAAGAAGAACAGGGGGATCAATAAAATTGCATAAAAATGAGCTGGATAATTCACATGCTTCACAAAATATTAAAAAGGTAATCATAAATGATGAGTGTGACTTTGGCATGCATGGAGGTAATTCAAAATGCATGCAACATTTATGTTGTGAAACAGGAAGGGAAGAAATCATTATAGGAACCTAGCTGTAGACGACAGGATAATAGTAAAGTAGTGGTTAAAGAGAATATGACATGAATTCATTTGATTCCAGATAGTGTCCAGTGGTGGGTAATTCTAAACACAGTATTGACTTGGAGTTCCAGCATAAATGAGGAATTTCTTTACCAGTTGAGTGAATATCACATTTTCAAGGACTCCAATCCATAAGAGTTACTTAACCCAGCAGAAAATAACTTCCACACAGCAAAGTCCAAAAATCTGAGTCCCATCAATTTCTCTCTATGCAGATTACAAGGCATTTTCAAATTCCTGTCCATTTTAACAACAGATTTAACCAGAGTGATGAAGCAGTTCACTGAACACAGTTCCGGAATCCCAAGCATCAAACGTGGTTCTGTATATTATAAAGTAAAGTACTGTCATTAACTGATGACGGACACATGCATTCACACTCACAGGTGACCATGGCAACTACATGTGTTGTGTTTTCATTCCACAGTATTCCATTACATCTACTATTATAAACAACCAACCATGACAGATGGCCTTTACTCAAGTGT